AATCTACCAGACAAATGGGGACAGCTGTGCAGGAAACCAGAGCTGCAGAACTTTGTTCAAACTGACTGAAGGCAAAGGACAGTAGGGATGGGTAATGTCCAAACAGAGAAGCTAAACCTGGTTAAATAAACACCATAGGTTGATTTACTGTTGAAGGGGACAGTCAGCCATAGGGCACAGACAGAATGTCCCTGAGGCACAATTACTGTTCTCATCATTTCAGTTTTCTCCTCTCATTCCAAGTACGGGCACCACGGAGTAATATTAAATCTAATCAGGAAGGGGTTGCTCACTACCCTGGCATTGTTATAACTCTTCCATTGGTGTTTTTGTCTTATATGACCAGTCAGTATTGTAGCTCACAGAAGTTATACCTGGATATGATCAATGTTTCATTTTCTCCTCTACTACTGTGGCTAAACCACTTTGAAAGATAACCAGTAGGGATGGATCATCTAGGTCCGCATCAGTTTGGTTTCTCCATGTTCTATATAACTCGGGAATATGGTGTTTTTCCTTACAGGATTTTACATCAAGTTTCAGATGGTAACTAAGAGCACTGACCATGGCCTGTAAGGATCAGGGTCATCCATGGCCAACAAGTTCAAAAAAGCTAAATAATTCTTGGGTCTGGGCTTTTCAATTGTCACCCTGTGGTATCTAGCAGGAATTATTGTTGCTCCAGTAGAGAGCAACTTCATCTTCTTTCTTATGTGTGTATACAAATATTTAAGAAGTCTCTACATTACTAGGATAATATAACATTAGTAGGATACATTATGAAAATCCCACAGTGTTATTTATTCCACCTACTTCCCTCCCCTGCCAAGAGGCCTAGGAGCCCTGTCCGCTCTGAAACTACTAGAAGAAAACATAGGCAGTTCCCTACATGATATAGGTGTAGAAAAGGACTTTCTGAATAAGATTCCATTTGCCTAAGAACTAAGATCAATGGTTGATGAGTGATACTTCATAAAACCAAAATACTTCTGTGCATCTAAGGAAACAATCAACCAGATGAGGAAGAACCCCAAAGAATACGAGAGAATCTGTCAGCCACACATCTGGCAAAATTTTGATATCCAGAGCACATAAAGAAATTAAAAAACAAAGATTGACCCATCCAAAAATAGATTTGGCATCTGAACAAAAGGATGTCTCAAAAGAAGAAAAACAATAACTTAAAAGTACTTTACAAAACTGTTAATCTTCCGCAGAAATTAGGGAAATGCAACTCAAAACAACATTTCAAGTTCAACTTACCCTAGTCAGAACAGAATAGCAAAACCAATAAAACAACAGACAAATTCTGTGGGGAGGGTGGAAAAGGGGAACCCTCATTCAATGTTGGAGGGATTACAACCTGGTGCTACCACTCAAGAAAAAAAAACAGTTTTGGGAAATTTTCAAGAAAAAGAAAAGAAAAGAAAAATACCATATAACCCACATTTACCTTTCTTTGGTATATTCCCAAAGAACTCACCTTCCTACTCCACGGATACTTGCTCAACCATTTTCTGTTTTTATTTATTTTCCATTTTTTTTCATTTACTTTTTGAAACAGGATATTGCTGTAGCTTTGGAGCCTGTCCTAGAACTAATTTAGTAGTCCAGGCTGGCCTCAAATTCAGAGATTTGCCTCCCAAGTACTGGGATTAAAGGTATGTGCCACCATCGCCTAACTTGCTCAGCCATTTTCATTGCTGCTGTACAGATAGGAAATGGAAACAACATAAATGTCCTTCAACCATTGAGTATATTACGAAAATGTGGTAGGTATACACTGTCGAATACTATGGAGATGTGAAGAAGAAATGAACTCATGAACTTTGAAGATAAATGGATGGACTAGGAAAGATCATATTGAGTGAGGTAATTCAGTCCCAGAAAGACAAATGCTACATATTATCTCTCTCTCAAACACACACACACATATCGGAACATTGTCAGGTTAGTGGGGCTGAGTTGGAACTAGCAGGGTACAAGTGATCAGACGAGGGAAATGGGGGAAAGAGAGAACTCTAATTATGAAGTAGGAGGTAGATAAATACAGAAAAAAGGAGGTGAAATAATAGTAAGGCTATCAGACAAAATCTTAAGGAACCGAATTATTAGTTGCATACCTAAAAAGTTATAATACACATAAAACTGTGTATAAATGCACATATATAATTTAATGAAATTTTCTCATCTGGAATACCAGTGCTCCCTTCAAGAACCAAAGGACACCTAAAAAACACTCAAATAGCATGCATGAAAAGTTTTATTTTAAATTGTTGCCCAGGGTAATTTCAGAGACTTCCGAAACACAAAAGCTATTGTTTTTGGCCATTATTGTCCTCAGGAAGTAGAAGGTAAGTCCCAATTAGAAACAGGGCCCAGAGACTCTTGAGGTGGAAATGACCTGAATGTTTCCTCTCTGAGGACTAGCTTTCATGGTCACCCAAAAGGTATCATACAAGCTTCCAAAGAGAGAAACAACCAACACTTCTACCCAGGTATGATGATAATGAATCACAACAGTGACCCGCATGGCTTAATAACACTCAGGGTGCAGTAGTGGCACACATGCCTTGCCAGTAACCAATGGCCCTCTGATTGGATTTAAGACCTACTCAACAAGAGAGAAACCATTCCAAGTACTAGGAACATAGCTAACTACCCAGGCCTAAATCGTGGATCTCAGAGCAGAATCTACAACACCATGTATTAAACCAGCATAATCCCTAATAATCTATAAATATTTGTTCTTAAATTCACAGATAAGTGTAGCAATCAACTCTCAACAACAAAAATCCTCTGATGCAGCATTCCCCTCTGTATGCTGTGAAATGATGGAAAATTCTTCCATGTGAGCTGGATAGTTTTGTCAACTTGAAACAGGCTGTAGCCATCTGAGAGGTGGAACCTCAATTGATAAAATGTCTCCAGGAGATCTGGCTGTAAGCAAACTAGCCTGTAGGGACATTTTCTTAAGTATTCATTGGTTGGGTCGAGGGAGCCCACTGTGGGTGGGGATACCCATGACCATAAAAACTCTCATGAGGAAACATTAATTGGGGCTGGCTTACAGGTCAGAGGTTTAGTCGATTATTGTCATGGCAGGAAGCATAATGACATGCAGGCAGACATGTAGAGAGGTCACTGAGAGTTCTACACCTGGATCCATGTGCAGAAGGAAGAGAAAGCGAGTCACACGGCCTGTCTGGAGCATCTTAGAGCTCAAAGCCCACCACCAGAGACACACTTCCTCCAACAAGGCCACACCTACTCAAGCAAGGCCACACCTCTACTAGTGTCATTCCCTATTGGCCTGTGAAGGTCATTTCCATTCAAACCACTACCAATATCAGTATCACAATATATTACACTTTATAACTTAAAAAGTCCCACAGTATTCACAAATTCAAACAATTTGAAATTCTTTTTTTTAAAAAAAAAATACAGTTTCTTTTTAAAATCCGATGTCTTTTACTTCACAGTCTCTCAACTGTGATCTCCAGTAAACTAAAATTTTTAATTCTTACTTTAAGAGGGAAGCGCCAGGGGACCATCACAACCAAATCAAAGCAAAAACAAATTCCAACTGTGTACATAACTCCATATCCAATGTCGGGAATCCGCTCACAATCTTCTGTGCTCTCCCAAAGGGGTTAGGTCACTTCTCTGGCTTCACCCTCAGCAGCACTGACTTGGGCTGGCTCCACCCCACTGCTGCTGTCCTTGCTGGTCATCCCTTGACACTAGCATCTCCAAATATGATGGGGTCCCTTGATGCAATGAGACTGCCAACAATAGCCACTCCGGGACTCTCTTCATGGAACCAACCAAGCTTCCACTTCTCTCCATGAGCCCTTCTATCCTGGGGCTTCCACTAATACTGAGGCTGCCTCTTCTCCAATCGTCTATCCGGGCCTCTCACAGTGCCAAACCACAGCTGTTCTCCATGACCCTTTCATGCCTTCAAACCACCTGAGAGACTCTTAGGCATTACCAAGTTTGGCTGCTAGTAAGATATAAAATTTTGGTGGCTTCTGTGCACTGACTCTGAGGAAACACTTCCCCAAAGTGATTTTGCCTCGGTGATGTTGGCCTCTTCTTAATCACCACTAATTTCTTAGCTCCAGTTGACCAGCATCTATTGTCTCTGTAAAACAAAGAGTTACTTCACTAGCTTTGCTCTTGTTAATTACAGCTAATTCTTCAGTCCCAGCTAACCAAAACCACAGATCTCATTTTTAGTCTTTAAGTGACTTGCAAACTTCCCTCTGGAACTTCACAAATTAGGCCTCCACCGTTTGCTCAACACTCTTATCTCCCAAGCTACCAAAGAAAACGTCATCAAGCTTTGAACTCCTAATGGATTTCTAGGCCAAAGTTCCAAGGTCCTTTCACAGTCTTTCTCAAAACAACATGCCAGATCTCTCACCATAGCCCATGATCCTTTCCCCATGTAATTTTAGGTTTCTATTACTGTGATGAAACACCATGACCAAAAAACAAGCTGGAGAGAGAGGGGAAACTGGAAGCAGTTGTTGATGTAGAGACCCTGGATACTGCTTACTGGCTTGCTCCCTTTGGCTTGTTCCAGTTGCGCCTTTTTAGACCCCAAGACCACCAACCCAAGGCTGGCACCATCCACAAGGAGCTGGGCCCTCTCCCATCAATCACTAATTTACACAATGTTGTACAGGTTTGCCTGAAGCTCAATCTTATGAAGAAAATTTTCTTTTTTGAAGTTCCCTCTTCTAAGACTACTATTACTTGTGTCAAGTTGACCTAAACTATCCAGCACACAGAGAAAATAAACTCTAACGGGTCATGGAAGATCTTCGAACCTCATTAGTAAGTTGATTCTGGAGCTCCTCTCACTGGCTAAACCTTAGGTTAAAATGTAACTTTGTTATTTCGATTTCCATTTCCTTGAATTGTGGAATCAGTGAAACAAAAGCACCTCAAGTTTCACTTTCATGTTCCTGGAAATGTAGGAGATACTGGAATGAAACTGAACCCACTCTCCTATGTGATTGGCTAGCACACTCTGAAGGTGGGACGAAAGTCAAGACAAAAGAGCTACACATCTTCCTTGTTTCTGCTGAGGAAGCAGAGGGAGTTCCAGCGAGGGGCCTCCAGCACAGTGAGGGCTATTCCTGCCCTGAGCAGAGAGAGCAGCCTCCAGACACAGGATTTTCTGGTAACTAAGCCTTCAGATCTGACTCCTCACCCTCCTCTGTCTCTTACTAGAAAGCCTATGAATAACAAGACATTTAGAGAGGAATCTTCAGAGTTGGGAACCTCAGTTTGGAAGCTAGGGGGTCTTGGATTGGAGGCAGGCAGGACTGACTTAAAGATGTTCTTAAGTAATTATTCAAGTTTAGATAGACCTAAAGCAAATAACAAGGTTATTATTTAAAATTTACCCAGTTGTTTTAGATTCGGGTTTTGTTTGAGGAAAATGAGCATTTCGGTATATATGTGAAGTGAATTATAACTATAGAATATATGAAAATTGTTGTGTCTTGTTATTGCCCAGTATTCTTTTCTTGTTCCATTCTACCCAGTTCAGGATATTTATTTTAAACTCTAGTGGAAACTAGATTCGGGTAAAAAATGCCCTCTGTAAGATGCTTCTGCTGTAACTTTGCTGGGGAAGAATCTTAGGATTTGGTTTTGTTTTAAAAATATTTGTATTTGCTGTATGACAAATTAGTGCATCTCTGTAATATTTTGATCATCTTCATCCACTATTTCTCTGTCTTTTCCCATTCTTATTCTCTCTGTGATCCTTCCTCTTCCCACGGATGCCCTTATGTTCTGTCTTTTTTACATTTTTTTTAATACTCCATTGATTTTAATCAGGATCACTTGCTTGTTCTGGTGTGGAGTTTTTTTACATGATCATGGTCAACTTTCTAGTTGTCATATCTCTATAGAAAAATGACTCTCCCTCCACCAATTTGTATTCCTAAGCAAAGGATAAGGCCTCATGTGCCTCTGATCTTGTTCCTGCTGAAATGTGAACAAGCTAAACCTTGTGTAAGTCTCCTGCAGGTAACCCCAGATGCCAGAAGTTTACACCTGCACGTGCCATGTCATAGTCAGAAGACATTATTTCATGCCATTCCCCCTGCCCTATCCTCTGTTTTCTGTGGTGTTCTCTAAACCTGGTTAGGGTGGAGGACTGATAAAAATTTCACTGCTTTATTTAAGAATGAGCACTCAACCATCAATTATTCTCACCACTTGGACCAGTTAGGAGACTGTACATCAAAACACCACCCACTGAAAAGAAATAAATAAAAATTAAAAAAACAGACAAAAAAAACCCAAATCGGGAATAAGCAAAAACAACAACAAAATCTTTGTCTGAGCAAGGCTGAGAGCATTAGTAATCTCTGGTATAGTCCAAAATATTTAGAAAGAAAATTGCCCATTCACAAAACAGCAGCAGTAGATGCTGAGGGCCATTTTTAATGAGGGAATCCTCTTTAACTTGGTGGGTTTTATCATGAAGTTGGGGTGCTAGTGAAGAAATGCATCTTTTTTGTACTGATAATATTTCATGTCACTATAGTTTGTTGTGGTCATACTCTGTGTAAGACATTTAACACAAATTTTTCTTGATTGTTTTTCTTTTTCTTGTTTTTGTAGTTCTTTGAGAATTTTGTACAGTGCATTTTATTGTTTTTTATAACATTTATGTATTCATTCTCTGTGTCCTCATACACCGGGCTAGGTACTCACACGCTAGAGCATGCTTGTGGAGGTCAAAAGACAAGGTGTGGAAGTCAGTTCTCTCTGCTATATGAGTCTTAGGATTAGAACTCATATCATTGGGCTTAGTGACAAGTACCCTTGCCTGCTCAGTCATCTTGCTGGCCCAAGACAGTCTTGGAGTGTGCATAAGTAGACCAAGGCATGGGGACCAAAAAGAAGGGAGGCTTTTATAAAAAAGATCCCCAGCAACTTTCGTCTTAGGAACTTTCCCCAAGGCTAAATGCAGAGGATTCAGGTTCATAGTTGCCCTGCTAGATCCAACAACTTTCATTTTCATCCGGGTCCAGTCAGCTTTTGGGAGTGGCCAAATTTATTACCAAATACTTCATTTCAGTCACCATCAGAATAGCTTAAATCTGACACCCTTTCCGTGCCCCGGTTCCACCACCTCCACCCCTCACTGCCTCCATTAGGTTTAGTGAGGCTGGCTGAGAGTTGAACCTGGATGTCTGTCCAGCTTGAGAGACAAGTAACAAAACTCAGAGGGGACCCTGGCATTTTAGTAGGACTTGCCTAGCCAGGAGGCCAGGAGCTGAGTGGCACCCCACCACCCTGTAGAGTCATCATTTTTCTGAGTGTGGGGAAGAGGGTCTGGCATTGTGGCTGTTGTGGATGGTGCTCTGTTGTTCTGCTAACAGTGCTGGGGCTGAGGGACTGGCCCTGTCAGCAGTCAGGTCGTCAGCAGGAAACAGAAATAGTTACCGCCTTAAGGAAACATAAAGTTTAGAAATTTATACAAAAAATGTACATACAAATTGAGGTATTAAAACATCTAATCCCATAATATTATATAAAATGTGTTATCTACTAGCCATAAATGAATTGCTATTGGATACAATTTTTGTGATGTATCACAGCCTTTATCTTATGGTTCTGATGAATATTATTTTGGTTAAAGTCTACTTTTGTAAACGTTACCAAAAGCAAATCAGTATCTTAAGAGAACCTTCTTGATATAAAAAAGATTGATTTTAGATTTGTATCAGTGTAGTGATCTTTGGCCTTAGGAATTTTAATAACTTTTAACTACACCTGACTCAGTCGTGCTCATATCCTTTTTTAAAATCTACAGCGATCCTCTGTCTTAGAGCAAAACTAATTAAAAATCCTTTACTTCAGCATTTCTAAAAATATATATCAGTATATGTATGACCTATGAAACATTTTTCTCCTCCTTATTGGAACCTTTTTACCTGTTTTGATATTGTGGACATGATGTTATAAGTAAACAACTTTTAGATAGCAATGGTATTTGTTGCCCTGACAAACTGGGAGGGATGTTAAATGATTGATTTTCATAGGGTCCTAAGCTTAATCAGACCAATTTGTCAGAACAGCCCTAGAAACTGTTACCAAAAGAGAGGTTATGTCCCCAGTGTAACAGTCAGAGCTCTGAAAGGGGACAGAGAACAGAACACAGAGATTCCTTAAACTAGAGGCTACACAGCTCGCACTCCAGGAACACAAAACAGAATGGATGTGTGCGTGTAAATTAGAAAGCATTGAAATTCTTACTCAAACCGTTTATTGGCCTTAAGAGACTGAAACAAATCTGTGAATGCCATTCTGAGCAGTGACTGTGCTCAGGTCTGAGTTTTCGTTTGTTATGCTAGGGCCTCTGTTGTCTCTTAGTACAAACTTGATCTTATCGAGAGTTAAGATAAACTTATGAACTTCTGATAGTTCCAGCCGCAATGTGTCTTAGGAAAGCAAAGGTCATTGTAATACTCAACAAACAATTATTAACCCAATTGGCCAGAAGCTCAGGAAGAATACACATTAATAATTCTGAAGGTAAACTCACCTTTCACCAGCAAATCTAAGTTATTTGCCAAAGAGTCATTTAATTTATGTGAGTTAAAAAGCAGTTAACCTCATCTAATAATATCAATTTAGCTTAATCCCTTCTGCAAGGCAATTTCGTGCCATGGAAGCATACATGTAGATATAACACAATATACACATACATATAGATATAACATACATGTAGATATAACACAATATACACATACATATAATCCTATATCAAATACATTTTAAGACAATAAAGAATATTTGTGAAATTTATCCTGTCAGGTTATCTTTAAAATCTTCTGCTCTGTTAATCTTTTCCATATCTCTAAGTGAGCTTTAATCTTAAATCTGTTCTTTAAAAGTTTTAATTTTCAGCTGAAGCAAATTAGAAAACTTCTGTCTCGGTATGTAGTTCCTTAAACAGGATGACTAAACAGAACGTGGGGTGAAGCTGGAAAAAAAAAATCAGTCAACATGAAAACTGTTTTCTTTACTCAGCTGAATTTTTACTTTGCTGTTTACAGAACTAAGTTGTAAAATCACACATCTGGAAGTTTCTGGAACATGGAAAGTACAAATCATCCAATCAGTAAAACAAACACAGATCCCAAACGAAAGGGAAACCCCTGGAATGCAGGTCTATACGTTGAGAAACTCTATCTCTATTCTATGAGGAAAATCTGGGACTCTAGAAGCACACTGGGGAAAATTGTTGTTTGAGTAAGAGATTTGTTAAAAGGGTTGTGAAAGCCATAGACAGACAGGCAGAGAGCAGCATGGCACAGAGATTAGGCCCATGTGGCAGAACAAGGAATCCTTTCTTGTGGGTCTGTGCCGTGTGATTGATGAGAAGCCTACAGGGCCTGCTTGTAGTCAAGGACTCTATGGGTGGGGGAGCAAGAATCTAGGGATAAAAGTGGTTTTAGTCATGGAAACCAAACCATTATCATTTCTGTAACGATCACCAACCAAAATGGGGTTGCTTTACAAGCTGAAGTGCCCCCCGGTTAGCACTTTAGATAGCTATAAATTACACCTAGGGTTTCTTCCAATCTTCTAAGACCTCTTTTGAAGAGTTGGTTCAAGGGTCCTACAACACTGGCCGGATTAGAAAAGCATCTGATGATTCAGAAAGGCTGCAAAGATTTCTCAGGACCATCAGGCTAATCAAGAGCTGAAATCCGGGTTCCTGAGATATCTCCCTTCCCGGCTTTATCTCTGGCAGTGAAGAAGGGTCTTTACTAAGACAGGCTTCTTCAGTTTGACCAACAATAGAAATTCATTGCATTTAATTCACATTGTAGTGAACTTAAACCAAAATAAACAGGCAAAATATAACACATTGGAAAAATACTTATTGCCTAAGTTAGGCAAAGCAGACATTGAGCTATTTCCAAAGTGATGCTTTAACTCACTGCCTAGCAAAGGAAGCATAGCAATTTTCTTCATGGGGTCCACAGATATTCATATAGGCATAGGCCAGCTTTTTAGCATGCTTGTTTTAGAATTACATTCCCTGAGCATGCTTATTATTAAATTGATGGACAGAAATGCCTCTCAGAATCACTAGCTTCCACAGTCACATTTTAGCTGGCGATAACAAAAAGGATAGTTTGAAGGAACTGAATGCAGGAAGAAATCTGTCCAGGAAGGTACCTGCCTTGCTTAGTCAATAACAGATTGGCACATGTTCTTGTCCTACCTGAGCATCCATATATCACATATGGCTGAGCATCCATATATCACACATGGCTGTACAGCATTCAGGGTACCAAAATATTTTTTTAGAAAGACCAGTAGCTTTACCTGTTTTCCATCTCATGATAACTTCTTGTGTCCAGATTTTACATGAATCCAAGAAATAGAAAGAGTCTAGTGGAACCTGAAGGTTGACAGCCCTCTTTGTTCATGGCTTCTGCTTCCTGGTTTCCAGGACTCTGTGAGCTATGGAATGATGCATGAAAATCTTCCATGGGATCTGAATGCTGTAGAACTGAGTTAAACATGTCCATATACTATTGTTCCAGCAGTAACTGACCTAGTACCTGCCAGATACCCCTTTCTACTAGGCCATCTATGAAGTCAAGCCTATGAACATAACCCAAGAGCCAATACAGATTGGCAAATTCAGGTTTCAGGAGTTGCTGTTATCTGTATCAACTCAGCCTCCTGACTGCTCTTTCTCCTGCCTCCTGCACATGTTGTCCATGTTCTTTTGTAATGCTGCAGGTGCCCTGCTTGTACTATCTATGTGTACCAAGCATCCATTGGGATGGGTGATGTCCCTAGCAGAAATTTTCTGGTTTGGCTGTTGATTCAATTATTCTGGGAAGCTAAGTGTGTTCAAAAGAAACTGGTCCTAGGACATATCTGTGTGGCATGGTGACTGGACTGGCAAGCACTACACCCTATATAAATATGCTTTATATTTTGCAAAGTTTGGTCCCATTTCACCTTAGAAAGGAGCTTGTCCATTGGCCTTCAATCCAACTCTTTATTGAAAAAGTGTTGTATTTATAGATCAGGAAGGGTTCATGAATAAATGTTCAAATGAAGAGACTTTACTTAAAGAGCAAACTTAGAAAGTTAGACATGCCGAGTAGATGAATAAGGGACTGTGTGACAACCAGAGGCTTGAAAGTGTGAGGGGCCATTACCATATCTAAGCAGAGGAATAATAAGAAAATATTTTTCTTGAAAATACCATGAGTACTGAACAGTTCACAAAGGCCAAGTAGCACAGATGATAAAGAAGGACAGAAGCAGGTACAGTCATTTGTGCAGCCCAACATGGAGGCCATGACCAAATTCATCTGATTTATACTGGAATCTAGAATATGAGGGGCCTCTGGTCATGAAGTCTACATAGCACAGAGGCACAGAGCTGACTGAAAAGTTAAGATGGATCTACAAAGAGACAAGGGACACTAAAACATTAAAGTCTCATGTGATTGTCTCAGATACCTGCAGAAAGAATGGCCCTATTGTGTCACTTACAGGTGAACTCTAGAGAAGTCACCTCGTAGAGTTTGGAAAAGGTAGAAGGCAGGGTGATGGGCAAAGCTGTGGTTGAGGAAAATAGGATGATGTTGGTCAAAGGACACAAAGTCCCAGAAGTGTAAAATGATCACAGTGGGAGATCAGATGCAGGAATGCAGTCATTAAGGATGGTATGTGGAAATATACTTGAAATTTGATAAAATATAGATCTTAAATTTCCTAAACATCCTCCTGACTCTTCCTTCTTTCCTTCAGTGCCATTAGTTGCTCATAGTCATGGGTCAGCTGTTCTCTTCATCTAAGGATGAGCGCCACCAGGATTTGTCCTCCAGCTTTGCCGAATATTTTAAGAAGTTCAAGGTAGGAAGCAAAATTATCCCTCAGGAAACCATAGCTTCAATTGAGTTAAGCCTGTCACAAGGAAACATACAGGGGACAAACTCTTCGATCACTAATGCATTAAAAGAAATTGATAGCACCCCACTCAATGTTGCTGTGACTGGAGAATCTGGAGCAGGGAAGTCCAGCTTCATCAATGCCCTGAGAGGGATTGGGCATGAAGATGAAGGTGCAGCTGAAATAGGTGTGGTGGAAACAACCATGAGGAGACATCCCTACACACACCCCAAGATTCCCAATGTGGTTTTTTGGGACCTGCCTGGAATTGGAACCACAAATTTCCCACCCAAAGATTATCTGGAGAAAATGAAATTTAACGAGTATGATTTCTTCATCATTGTGTCTGCCACGCGCTTTAAGAAAAATGATATAGACCTTGCCAAAGCAATCAGCGTGATGAAGAAGGATTTCTACTTCGTGAGAACCAAGGTGGACTCTGACTTAAAAAATGAGAAGGAATTCAAACCACGAACCTTTGACAGAGAAACGGTCCTGCATCAGATCCGCAGCAGCTGTGAGAGGACCTTTCAGGAGAATAACGTTGAGCAACCACCCATCTTCTTGATATCTAATAAAACCTTATCTGACTATGATTTCCAAATCCTGATGGACAAGGTGGTGAATGCTCTCCCTGTACACAAACGACACAATTTTATGCTCTCCTTGCCTAATATTACAGATGCGGCCATTGAAAGAAAGCGGCAATTCCTGAAGCAGAGGATTTGGCTCGAAGCCTTTGCGACTGACCTACTCAATATGATCCCTTCACTGACCCTCTTAATGGGCAATGACGTGGAGAATCTTAGGAAAAACATGAACCACTATCGAACTGTCTTTGGAGTGGATGATGCATCCTTGCAGAGTTTGGCTGAGGACTGGCAAGTGTCAGTGGATCAGCTCAAGGCAAAGATGAAATCTCCTCATGTGTTTGAAACTACAAAGAAAGAAACAATACAAGAAAAGCTTTCAAGACTTTGTGAGGAGTTTTGTTTGGCTAACGGGCACTTCATTGCTAAGAATGTTTATGTTAAAGAATTGTTTTACCTGAAATTTTGTTTCCTTGACATGGTGACAGATGATGCTAATGCTCTCCTCAGAGAGATATGTGTAAAAAATAACTTGGTTTCAGATTAGGCTGAAATCTTGTAGCTGTCAAAAATCAAAATCAATGACAGAAAAATAGGACACTGATATTGCAAAACAACATACTGTGTTATTCAGGCCATCCAGGCTTTATCCATACTTAGTGATCATCTATCCACATTAGCTGTAGCAAGGGGATCAGATTTGTGTAAATAAGCTGAGAACTAAAACCTATCTACTCACTTTGAATAAACTCTCACATTGAGTAATTTCACTTTTATCTGAATTTATTTTATATAAATCAACATCCATTTTTAGGTTTAGCATTGTGATGGGTGGTTTGATCGACAGACTAGAATCACATTGGAGGTGATTCTCCAATGTGCAACATTGCACAAAACATCAGGGTTTGCGTTTGGAAAACTATTTTGCTTATGTTAGTGTAGGTGAGAAGTGCTGCCCACTGTGGGCGGCCGCATTCCCTAGCTGGTAATTCCTGACCATGTATATGGAAAGAGAGGCTAAGCCGCAGCACACCCGCACTCATGCGTTGCTCTCTGCTCTCTTACTGCGGGTGGAGGGGGACTAGCTGCCCCTAGCTGCTGCTGCGACTCCTCTATAACCTTGGCTTTCACACTTATGTCCTCTCTTCATAGTGATACCAAAGGAAAAGCCATAACGGGGCTGGAAAGATGGCTCAGTAGATAAAGCAATTGCCTTGCAAGTCTGAAGACCTGAGATCAGACCCACAGAGCCCACATAAACCCACCTATGGCATCTGAAATCCATGCACTCCTGTGGGGAGACAGGAGACAGAGGCAGAGAGTCCTGGAAGCTCTAGGGCCATCTAACCTGACACATGCAGCCATTAAAAAGAGACCCTGACACAAGCAAGTGGAAGGTACAAACCAATGCCCAGTGTTGTCCTCTGAGCTCTGCCTTCCTGCAACCACACATGCACAAAAAGTTTTTTTTCTTTAAAACAAAGAAAGAAGGTTTGGGGCAGTAACTCAATGGTATAATACTTGCCTCATGTGCATGGGACTTCGGTTTCAAGGTCTAGTACTCCAGAAAAAGAGTAAAAGGTGGAGTAGAGAGATGGCTCGGAAGTGAAGAACACTGGCTGCTCTTGCAGAGGTCCGGGGTTCAGTTCCCACATAATAGAACCAACATAGTAGCGCACAGTAGCCTATATCTTTTCCAGAAGATATTATACCCTCTCCTGACCTCACAGGACTAGGCACATGTATAGTTAGCAGATACATATGCAAGGCAAACATTCATACAATAAAAGTAAAGAAAAATTTTAAAGATATATGTTTAAATAAAGAGCACAAGAGAGAGAAACAATAACCATAGAGGTCACAATAACCTTAACAGAAATTCCTAAAAATTCTTAGAGAAAATACTAAAGAAGCTCTCTAATTTTGTGTCAAACCTAATGAAGGTTAAGAGATTTCTCTTCTTTATATTGATAGTTTTTGAGTGTCGTGGTTATTAAATGACTGATTTAGTCCGTATCAATACCAAAAGCCAATTAATAAATTCTTTCTGAAAAAAAGACATTCGTTGCTACTTGACTTTCCCAACAATCCATAATAGCTTCACTGTGACTGTCCTTGGTATTACTGTTATTGGCTGATTATCTCATTGCACACTATCTGGCCCACATTTTATCTCTCTTAAAATAAAATGCAAATGAACAGTATATTTGTTAGTAAGACTAAAAGAGAAACACAGAGGAAAGAGAATTTTTAACTTTTATTTCATTACATATTTAAAAAAGAAAACAAACTATCTTTTTTCATTTTACACACAAATCCCAGTTCCCACTCCCTCCCCTCCTCCTACTCCTTCCATCTTCCCCCCTCACCCCACCTTCGATCCTCTCCTCAGAGAGGGTAAGATGCATTGCTTTGGGAAAGGTCCAAGACCTCCCTACTAAATCTAGGCTGAGCAAAGCATCCATCCAAAGAGCTAGCACAAACAGTAGGGATAAATTCTGGTATCATTGCCATTGGCCCCGTAGTCTGTGCCAGTCATATAACTGTCACCCACTTCATAGGGTCTAGTTTGGTCCTAGAAGAGAAAATTTATCCATGGTGGGGAGCACTTCCTTAAAGTTTGGGCTATAGACTAGGGAGAATAAGCAACAGAATTTTTTTCTCGCATTTCCAGAAGAAATGTCTGATGTCTGAGATCCAGGAGCCTGTGTGGCCAGACCCCCAGTAAAAGCATTCTTTCTGGTAGGACATCATATGGCCTTCCATGGTGCATCTATCCAGAGTATGATTCCCTTTTCACTTCTTCTTATGGCCCTAACACTTGGGCTTCGTTTTCATGACCTAGTCTAAATGTGGGTGCATCAAAAAAGATGAAGAAGTATGGGAATGAAAGGCAAATTGATGCCACCAAGAAAACACAAAAGCTTCTGTCAGTGGACATTGCAAAGGAAGCTGAGGAAATGCGAGAGAAAGAAGGAATAATTCTAAAGGAATTTACAGAGGATAAAGAGAATATATAGCCCCACTACATAAAAGCATTAACACAACTCTGCATAAATACTGAGAAGTTCATAAAAGAAGCAGATTTTTTTTAAAGTGCTGAAGGGCTAGGGAAGATCATGGGTAAAGTATTTGCTCTACATGTATGAAGACCTGATCCCTAGTGTATTTGTTGCGGTTCTCTAGAGTAACAGAATTGATTAGATAGATGGATGAATAGATAGATAGATAGATAGATAGATAGATAGATAGATAGATAGATA